GAAGGTTGTTAATTTTAATTTATGGTCTCATATTTCTAATCACAAAATATACATAGAATATTAGAAATTTTTATTTATGACGGCTTATGTGTACACAATTAATTGCGTTTTTTTATTTCGAATAACACCCACAAGATTAAGATCATCTAGATAATTAGATTGAATTTTATTTTCAACTTTGAAGTAAAGTTTCACTAAACTATTTGATAAAAATAGGAAAATAGTTGTGTTCATAAGCCATCATAAAAAAAAAATGATCTTCTATGTAACTTTTGTGATTAGAAATATGAGACTATAAATTAAAATTAACTACATGTTCTAGGAAAAGTGATAACAAGATGTAGGATAAGATGAAATTTTTTCGGGTGAAATTGAGCATTTGTGCTGTGAAACTAACGAGAGAGATGATAGAAATAAAGACGGTTTTATTGATTAGCCTAATAAAAAAAGAAACAATAAATTAAAGCGAGGGGGGGGGGGGGGGGGAGGGTATTTCGGTTAGTTAATTGAAAAAAAGGATTGTTTTAACTAAAACGGGAGTGGAAACAGCGCTGCCCAAAATATATATGAAACTTACATGGTGTCCTGGATATTCACCATTCATGCCAACAAGAGAAAAGGGGTTCTTGAGAATGGATTTAGCCTTCATCATATCTTCCTTTCGAACTCGAGGTATCGGAACCGTTCCAATAGGGCATGGTTCTCTCGACCCGAAGGTGACGCACTTGCTCGGCGGGCTATATGTTGGTGAGCTAACAATACGTGAATTCGGTCTTCTCTGTAAGAGAAAAAATTAAGAAGATAAAGACATAATTAAAGAAATAAAAATGTTATCTCTATGAATATTCATTCTACGGAAAGTTCATACTTGGTATCGCCATTTAATACTCTGTGTCACTGAAAATGCATGACTTTATACTTTAAGATAGAAAAAAATATATTCACCATCCGGATTTGGCTTGGCAGTTTTATTTTCTCGCACCATTTAGAAAAAAAGATGATATAACGCTTGGGTAAGTACTAAGGGTGTGTTTGTTTTGCGGAAAATAGACAATTTCTTGAAAATACTTTCCAGAAAATCATTTTCCAGGAACATGAGTTTATTTTTCGGTGTTTGGCTAAAACCTAAAAAAGACTTAAAAAGTATTTTCAGTTGTTTGGTGAGGAAAAATCTGATGGTGAAAATTATCAAAAAATTTTATATTTTTAAAATTATTTAAAATTATTTGTTATTTTAAAATTATTTTTATTAAGAAAAGAAAATACATGAATGTTTTCTTTCTCAGAAAGAAAAGAAAACGAAAAGAAAAGAAAAAAAAGAAAGAAAGGAAAAGAAAAAATATTAATAAATTCAAGATGAGCAATTCTGGAAAATGTTTTCATCTTTTTAGAATAGGGAATTCACTTTCCTAAAATTAAACATGATATTTGTGTTGACCGGAAAGTATTTTCCGTGGACCAAATCATTTTCAAAGAACCAAACGGATGAAATTCCATAAAACACTTTTTGGGAAAACACTTTCACCAAAACAAACACACCCTAAATTAGTTCTTGGTCCTAAACGCTTTGTTTAAGGCTTGATCAATTGAAATAAAATGTTTAAGGATTTAATTGCCAAAACGAAACATTAAGGACTCAATTGACCAACCTGTTAAATTTTTTAGGACTATTTATTTCTCTTATCCTTAAATTCGGTAGTTTTCAACCTATGTTTTTCTTAATTAGATGAGTTAATTTAAAGCACATATGGCACCGTTAGGCTAGCATTGTTCAAAATAAATGATTTGAAAAACATTTTTCAAAAAATGATTGCTTAAAATAATTAGTTAATGGAAAATATTTTTATTATCGACATCAATTTATATCTAAACATTTTCATGGACGATGAAAATATTTTTCGTTCATTTACTTTTATAAGCGATACAAGAGATCAATTTTAGGAAAATATTTTTCAAATCGTTCATTTTCCGCGAAACAAACTAAACCTTAATGAGTTGATTTTCACTTGAACTACTCACCATGGAAAAAAGAAAAAGAAAAATCTTTTTGACACCCATCATGGAATCAATCATCAATGGAGAAAACGGGAAAAACATTCATGAGTGCCTATTAAGAGGTATCTAAGATAAATTTTTGCATGGGCTACAAGTCCATTGGTTAAAAGGTTGGAGAAAAAAAAAACGGAGCAAAAGTAATAAATCTCTCTCTAGAAACACATAATACTGATCATTGAATTGAGCGAAAAGTCACTACAAAAAAACAAGGGTTTAGCCACGGAAATTTACGACGAATTATTTTTCGTGGCTAATTGCGACGCAATTTGCGACGAATATATTTTCCGTCGCAAATTAGCGACGAAAAATAATTCGTCGCAAATTTCCGACGAATTTTGCAACGAAAAAAATTCGTGGCTAATTTGCGACGGAATCGCCACGGATTAAAAATCGTCGCAAATTTGCGACGAAATTTATCAGAAAAAAATTCGTGGAAAATTTGCGACGGATTTTCCCACGAAAAAAATTCGTGGCTAATTTGCGACGGAATTTGCCACGAAAAATAATTCGTGGCTAATTTGCGATGGAATTTGCCACGAAAAAATATCCGTCGCTAATTTGCGACGGAATTTGCCACGAAAAAAAATTAGTGCCTAATTTGCGACGAAATTGCCGACGAATGTTTTTCCGTTTCTAATTTGCGACGAAAAATAAATGTCGTCGCTAATTTGCGACGAAATTTACCACGAAAAAAAATTCGTGGTTATTTTGCGACGGAATTAGCGACGAATAACAATTCGTCGCTAATTTTCCTCTACTTGTAGACCCAATTTCTCTCTCTCTGCTAATTCCTCTTATCCCTATTAGCTGTTCTCCCTTCCTCTCTCTATTCGCTGTTATCCCTTCCTCTCGATAAATCTCTCCGCACGCGCAAAAATCTATCTCGGTGAACCTTTTCTACTGGTAAGTGGTGTGATTAATTTGGGCAAAACTATTTTTAAATTTTTGTTATTTTATTGAGTTTTTTTTTTCTCTTTTTTTTTTTTCTGACTTCGTCGCCGCGCCGCCGGTCCGACAGCCGGCGACCGCTGCGGCGAGGCTCGCCGGCCATGGGCGAGGCATTGGACCTCGCCCGGATCCGGGCGAGGCCGAGCGGCCTCGCCATGGGGCCTGGCGCCGGACCTCGCGGCGAGGTCCAGCGGCGGCCATGGCCGCTCGTCGTCGCCGCGAGGTCGAGCGGCGGCCATGGCCGCTCGACCTCGGCGACAGCAAGATTGTTAAATATCAAGGCAGAGCATAATGTGTCTGAGAATTGCTTTAACTCTTTTGTTGAAGTAATGCGAGAAGCAATGCCTCCTGATAACATAATGCCAAGTGATTTTTACGATATGAAGAAGTTAGTGGATAACTTAGGTCTTCCAGTTGAAAGGATTGATGTATGTAGTAGGGGTTGTATGTTATATTGAAGAGATGATGAAAATGCGAGAATCTTGCAAATTTCGTAGCCAACCTAGGTACAAGATTAACAGAATGCGGAGGCAAGGTCGTAATCAGAAGTGTAGACCATGCAAGCAAATGTTTTATCTGCCCTTAATCCCCAGATTACAAAGGCTTTATGCGTCTCAAGCCACTCGCTGAACACATGACTTGGCATGCAAATCATGAAACGAGAAGAGGGTCTAATGTGTCATCCTTCGGATGCAGAGGCATGGAAACATTTTGATAGAACATACCCCGAATTTGCGATAGAGCCTCGAAATATTAGGTTAGGTCTCTCGTTTGATGGATTTGCCCCATTTGGAAAATCAGGGAAAAGTTATTCATGTTGGCCAGTTATCTTAACTCCGTACAATCTTCCACCCGGTATGTGCATGAAGACACCTTATATGTTTTTGACATTGATCGTGACCGGACCGCAAAATCCGAAAAAGTTGATAGATGTTTATATGCAACCATTGATTGAAGAGTTACAACGGCTATGGAATGAAGGTGTCGTTACGTATGATGTTTCTACTAATCAAACATTTGTAATGAAGGCTGCTCTTCTTTGGACGATAAATGACTTTCCAGCTTATGGAATGTTATCTGGATGGAGTACAGCTGGGATCTTAGGATGTCCGATATGTTTGGAGATGTCGAAGTCATTCAGATTAAGACATGGTAAGAAGCCTTGCTATTTTTGACTGTCACAGACAATTTTTGCCGATGAATCATACATTCAGAAGGAATAAAAAAGAGTTCATGAAGAATAGGATTGAAAGAAACTCCTCCACCATTGAGGTTGACTGGTGATCAAATATGGGAACGAGTGCAGGACTTTCCAACTGTTGTTGAAAACCCTCATGGCACAACTATTGCGTACGAAAGTGGACATAAGTGGACTAAACGCAGTATATTTTGGGATCTACCATATTGGAAAGCTCATCTTATTCATCATAATCTTGACGTTATGCACATTGAAAAGAATGTTTTCGACAATGTCATAAATACTGTGATGGATGTTACGGGAAAAACAAAAGACAACTTGAATGCAAGAAAAGATATGAGAGATATTTGTGATCGGCCAACATTAGATGTGGATGCAAGCGAAGCAGGGGACCAAAACCAAAAGCGCTTTATACATTGGATAAGGAGCAGAGACGAGTCGTTTGTCAATGGTTGAAATCTGTGCGGTTTCCTGATGGATATGCTTCGAACATCGGGAGATGTGTTGATTTGAACGAATGCAAGTTGACAGGATTAAAGAGTCATGATTGTCACATATTTATGGAAAGACTAATTCCAATAGCTTTGAAGGAACTTCTACCAAACTTTGTATGGGGCGCCATTACAGAGTTAAGTAATTTCCTCCATGATATTTGCTCAACAGTGTTAACAGTATCACACATGGAGAAACTGGAGAGAGACATTCCAATTATTCTTTGCAATTTAGAAAGGATATTTCCTCCAGCGTTTTTTGATTCAATGGAGCATCTCCTAGTTCACTTGCCTTATGAGACTAAAGTTGCAGGTCCTGTCCAATTTCGATGGATGTATCCATTTGAGAGGTAAAATTTTTTTCAAAATAAAATTCAAAATACTTTATTATATATTATGTTCTGATAAACTTCTTTCTATTGCAACAAGGTTCTTATATCATTTGAAGAAAAAAGTGAAGAATAAGGCATGTGTTGAAGCTTCAATTTGTAATGCATATATTGTGGAAGAAGTGACAACATTTGCATCATACTATTTTGAGCCGCACGTGCAGTGCAAGAGGCGGAGAGCAGGAAGAAATGATGAGGGTCCCATCGATCCCAATTGCAAATCATTCTCTATTTTCAATTATCTCGGTCGACCAAGCGGCGCATGTCAGTTTCGTTGCTTAACAGGCGAAGAACGGCAGGCCGCCCATACCTATATTTTACTGAACTGTCCAGAAGTGGAGCCATACTTCCAGTAAGTGTATACTTTTGCAAATATATGTATTGCGTGTCAAATATTTACTAATATTTAAATGTAAATTGTTAATAGGATTTTTCAAAATTCAATGTATGGACTACCACCAAATGAGTTCGACCGTTTGTGCGATAAACAATTTGCAGCATGGTTCAAAACATATGTAAGTTGCCTATAGACCAAAACCAAGTTATTAATATTTTATACATCATTTAAATATATATTATTGACTTTGCGTGTGTAATCTTAGGTTCACAGTAATCATGATCAAGTTGAAGAGCAAGGATTACTATATTATCTGTCATGGGGTCCACAGTCAAGCATACGAAGTTGGCCAGCATATTTCATAAACGGGTACAATTTTCACACTCGAGAATATGGAATGGAAAAAGCCACAATGAATAGTGGTGTGTGTGTTCGGTCATCCAATTATGGTAGTTCAAAAGATGATTTTTATGGCTTGTTGGATGAAATCATCGAGATAGAGTACCCCGGACCATCAATGCGGGTTGTGTTATTTAAGTGCATGTGGTTCGACCCCGTCAAAGGAACGAAGGTACATACGAAGTTTAATTTGGTTGAAATAAATCATAAGAAAAGGTATAAGAAATATGAACCATTTGTGTTGGCCCAACAAGCAATTCAAGTATATTATGCATCATATCCTAGTTTGAAACGTGACAAAGCTGATTGGTGGGCTGTATGTAAAATCAAAGCACGAAGAAAAATCGAGGAACACTGGAAGGATACAGCATATCAACAAGAGGAAGTTTATAATGCGGTTCAAACTGAGGAATATAACATTCCTACTCTACGAGATCCATGTGGAGCAATGATAGATGTAGATCTAGAAGGTGTTGCAGAAGCTGATTTTCAGACAGAGGATGATGATGATGATGATGATGACGACGACGATGACGATGATGATGACGATGACGATGATGACGATGATGACGATGATGCTGAACAAGAAGATTAAGATCAAGATGAAGACGAAGGTGAAGGCGAAGGCGAAGATTTAGATTTTTTAGACTTTTTACTAATTATGTCGTAATTATTATTATTATTATTATTATTATTATGACAAAGTTTATTGTTGTTGTCATATTTATTATTGTTGTTGTTGCCGTAATTATTAGTATTGTTGTTGTTGTTGTTGTTGTTGTTGTGGTAGTTATTATTATTATTATTATTATTATTGTAATTGTTGTTGAATATTATTATTGCTATTATTGTTAATGAAACGTCATTGTCCGGAAAAAAAAAAAAATTACGCGAGTGTGGGATAGTAGAAATGAAATTCGTGGCTAAAATCAGTGGAAAATTTGCCACGAAATTTAGCCACGAATTTCATGAAAAAATCCCACTCACAAGGCCAAGTAATTTTTCATGAAAAGCCAAAAATTAATTTTAGGAAATTCGTGGCAAAAATCCGTGGCAATTTACCACGGATTTCGTAAATAAAGGCCGTACGCATGATTTAGGCTTTTTTTTAGGAAATCCGTGGCAAATTTGCCACGGATTTTAGCCACGGATTTTTTTTTAAAAAAAATTTCTAATTTATTCTTTTTTAGGAAATCCGTGGCTAAAATCCGTGGCAAATTTGCCACGGATTTTAGCCACGGATTTTTTTTTAAAAAAAAATTATATTGTATTCTTTTTTAGGAAATTCATGGCTAAAATCCGTGGCAAATTTGCCACGGATTTTAGCCATGGATTTTTTTAAAAAAAATTTATATTGTATTCTTTTTAGGAAATTCGTGGCTAAAATCCGTGGCAAATTTGCCACGGATTTTAGCCACGGATTTGTTTTAAAAAAATCGATTGTATTATTTTTAGGAAATCCGTGGCAAAAATCCGTGGCAAATTTGCCACGGATTTTTGCCACGGATTTTTTTAAAAAATTCGATTGTATTATTTTTAGGAAATCCGTGGCAAAATCCGTGGCAAATTTGCCATGGATTTTTGCCACGGATTTTTTTAAAAAAATCGATTGTATTATTTTTAAGGAAATCTGTGGCAAAAATCGTGGCAAATTTGCCACGGATTTTTGCCACGGATTTTTTAAAAAAATTCGATTGTATTATTTTTAGGAAATCCGTGGCAAAATCCGTGGCAAATTTGCCACGGATTTTTGCCACGGATTTTTTAAAAAAATCCTAATTTATTCTTTTTAGGAAATCCGTGGCTAAAATCCGTGGCAAATTTGCCACGGATTTTTTTAAAAAAAAATTCGATTGTATTATTTTTTAGGAAATCCGTGGCAAAAATCCGTGGCAAATTTGCCACGGATTTTTTTTTTAAAAAAATCGATTGTATTATTTTTAAGGAAATCCGTGGCAAATTTGCCACGGATTTTTTTTTAAAAAAATTCGATTGTATTATTTTTAGGAAATCCGTGGCAAAAATCCGTGGCAAATTTGCCACGGATTTTTGCCACGGATTTTTTAAAAATTCGATTGTATTATTTTTAGGAAATCCGTGGCAAAAATCCGTGGCAAATTTGCCACGGATTTTTGCCACGGATTTTTAAAAAAAATCCTAATTTATTCTTTTAGGAAATCCGTGGCTAAAATCCGTGGCAAATTTGCCACGGATTTTTGCCAGGGATTTTTTTAAAAAAATCGATTGTATTATTTTTAAGGAAATCCGTGGCAAAAATCCGTGGCAAATTTGCCACGGATTTTTGCCACGGATTTTTTTAAAAATTCGATTGTATTATTTTTAGGAAATCGTGGCAAAAATCCGTGGCAAATTTGCCACGGATTTTTTTAAAAATTCGATTGTATTATTTTTTAGGAAATCCGTGGCAAATTTGGCACGGATTTTTGCCACGGATTTTTTTTAAAAAAAATCCTAATTTATTCTTTTTTAGGAAATCCATTGCTAAAATCCGTGGCAAATTTGCCACGGATTTTTTTAAAAAAAAATTCGATTGTATTATTTTTTAGGAAATCCGTGGCAAAAATCCGTGGCAAATTTGCCACGGATTTTTGCCACGGATTTTTTTAAAAAAAAATTTCTATTGTATTCTTTTTTAGGAAATCCGTGGCAAATTTGCCACGGATTTTAGCCACGGATTTTTTTTAAAAAAAATTTCTAATTTATTCTTTTTTAGGAAATCCGTGGCAAATTTGCCACGGATTTTTTTTAAAAAAAATTTCTAATTTATTCTTTTTTAGGAAATCCGTGGCTAAAATCCGTGGCAAATTTGCCACGGATTTAGCCACGAATTTGAAAAAGACCCCAAAATTACCGCGACAATTTTATATTTCGGTTCGAATTTGCCGCGATATAATAACAATTCGTGGCTAAAATCGTGGCAAATTAGCCACGGATTGGAAATCGTGGCAAATTAGCCACGAAATAATATTCGTGGCTAATTTGCCACGAGTTTAGCCACGAATCCTAAAATCGTGGCAAATTTGCCACGATTTTAAATCCGTGGCTAATTTCAGCGAAAAGTCACCATACGGCGTCGTCTTCATGAGCGGGTACAAATTAGGGTTCTTCTTTTCTGTTCTCACGATCGAACCTATCTCTGTCTCTGTCTCTTGTCTGTCTCTGTCTTCTCCCTCTTTCTCTGTCTCTGTTGCAGTTCTTCGGCGTTCTTCGGCGCGATTCTTGGCGTTCTTCGGCGCGATTCTTGGCGTTCTTCGGCGACGGACGGTGGGAAGCGAGGACACCCAGCGCGCGGTCTGCTTCTGTTGGGTTCTTCGGCGGCGTCCGCGAGTGTTCGGTCTGCTTCTATTCGGTTCGGTCTGCTTCTATTCGGTATGCTTCTGTTGGGTCTGCTTTTCGCCGTTATTTCTAGGCGTTTGCGTCTGCTTATGCTTCTGTTCAATGTATGTGTTGGGTCTACGTTTGGGTCCGTACGCTCCGTGCTTCGCTTCTATGCTTCGCCGTGCTTCTACGTCTTCTCGCCTCGCGCTTCTTCTTCTGCTAAGCTTCTGTGCTTCTGCATCTGTGTTGGCTGGCTTCTGAGTTGGGTCTGCGTCTGTGTGCCTGTGTTGGCCGGCTTCGTGTTGGGTCCGCTCGCTTCGTGTTGGGTCCGCCTTCGCTCGCTCGTTCGTTCGTGGGACGAAGCAGTTGTCTCTTTCGCCACGAATTTGGTTCTATTCGTGTGCGAAACAAACCGTTCGTGGGCGCCCGTGCTTCGGCACGCTCGTGTTGGCTTTCGTGGGCGCTTCTGTGTTGGGTGTTGTGTTGGCTTCTGTGTGTAATTATTGTTGGGTCTGTTTCGCCCACGAACAGAATCAAATTCGTGGGCGAAACAAAAACAGAACCATTCTGTTTCGCCCACGAATTTGATTCTGTTCGTGGGCGAAACAGAATGGTTCTGTTTCTGTTTCGCCCACGAATTTGATTCTGTTCGTGGGTGAAACAGACCCAATCTGTTTCGTTCGCCCACGAAACAGAACGAAACATAATCAATTTGGTCGGATTTAGGTTGAAATTTAGTTGAAATTTAGTTGAAATTCGTTTGAAATTTGGTCGAAATAAGGTGAAATGTTGTCGGAATGAGCTGAAATTTGGTCGGTCAAGTGGAAACGGCCCGCTGATCGAAATTCACGGCCTATGGCCGTGACGCAAGCCATTTTTTGGCTTTTTGGAGTCGTTTAGATGGGTTTTTTGCCAAAAATTGATTCTGGTGAATAGTGTTTTCCGCGACATTTGGGCTTTTTTTTTTTTCGTTTCGGAGTCATTTTATCATTATCTAGGTTTGAAAACTATTTCCAAACCTTTTTTGGCCTAGGTTGAAGGTTTGGCCATCGGGGTAAAACTATTTCCGTGACATTTGCGTTTTCTGGAGTGGCTCCCTTCGAGGTAAAAATTTATTGATATATTCATTTTGAACAGAACTTAGTGATTTACTTGCATCATAACATTTGTTGTGAAAGTGTAACTTATTAAGTTCTAAGGCTAGATGAGTTCTTCCTTTTTTATCGTTGTAGGACCCGAAATTTAGCTCGTAGACATTTCCGGACAGCTTCCTTTTTTTCAGGGGCCATCTCTCTTGCTCTCAATAACAAAATGGTAAGCTTCACGACGTACGTCATTATGTGTCCTTAATATATGTCCATAATTTTCTTTATTTTTGTCTAACCTTGCACCTTTTAGTATAAACGTGGAGGTCACATGCGTCGTGATGATGCTTCACAAAGAAGATCAGGCCTTTCCTCTTCCTCGTCCTCATCCCCATCCCTTTCCGCTTCCCCTGCCCCTGCCCTTTTATCTAACTCTCAACTAGTACATGGACACATTGGCCCTTCCTCCGACCCTCAAATGCGAACTGAATTTACTTCAGTTCCATCGCCTTCGGTTCCACCTTCTTCTTCAACGCAACACTCGAATTATGAAGAAGATACCCGCTTCATGATAGCCCCATTTGGAGATTCGTAAGTATTTCATTTTTTTAAATATATGTGAATTATTATGGATGTCAACTGAATTGTCTGTATGCTTTACGGATGCTACGTATGTTGAAATAAGTTATAACCTGTTTGCAGATTCATGGATTCTACGCGTGTTGTGAGGAGACTTAATAAAATAATCGATAACTATTGGATGGGGCAGTTTAGTAGTTGGACCACTGCTCCAAAAGAAGTAAAGGAATTGTGGTGGAATGAGTTCAAGGTAAGTTTTGTCCTTTTATTTCCTCACAAACTAAGTTCGATTTAACATACTGAGCGTACAATTATTTTTCTATTGATTGCTTGCAGCGGAAGTTCGAGTGGGATGAAGCGGAAGAGAAAGAAGTTAAAAGAATTTTTAAGAAGAAAGCCGGTGATCACATGCGAAATGTGATGAATAGAGCAAAGAGAAGACAAGAAAAGCCGGATTTTATTACAGCTGACAATTGGGCGGAAATCAAAAGAATTTGGGACACCGAAAAGCATCAGCAAATCAGTGAAATTAATAAGAAGAATCGAGCTTCTAGTTCTAGTGAAGGGTCTGCCACATATGCTGGGGTCTCTATTAATATCGGGGAGCATAGAAAAAGAATGGTAAGTCTTTTAAACATGTTGTAAAGTTAAATCAATAATTACTCATTTCATTTATGTTTATATTTTGTAGGCAGATGAATTGGGGACGGAACCAACATTTATGGCTACATTTGAACGCACCTTTCAGAAAAAAGATAAGACATGGACCGGCAATCGAGCAAAAGTTATTAAGGTATATAAGGTTATATTTTGTATTTATATATATATGAAGTTTTTTTTTTTATTAATATTGTTAATGTAGGACAAATATGATGAACTTGTAATGAGCACGGCTGCTGCTAGTGGTGATGGTGATGGTGATGGTGATGGTGATAGTGTCTGCTGCGTCCGAGCCATCGGTTGTGATATGGCATTATGGATGGAGGCATCGGGTGGAATGAGAAGAGGTCAAATATTTGGGATGGGATCCTTGTCAAGGATGTGAATGCGGCTGCGCAACTTCATCCTCCAAGGCGGCTTTTTTAAGGGCACAACACGAGGAGCGAACGGACCAAGAATTGAACCGCTTGAAACAATTACTGGTACAGAAGGATGAAGAAATGAAACAGTTACTTGTACAGAAAGACGAAGAAATGAAACAATTACTTGTACAGAAGGACGAAGAAATGAAAGGAGTGAACCAACGTTTGCAATTGATCATGCAACACCTCAACCTCGAAGCTAATGACCGGCGGTCCTCCGTACCTCCTACTAATCCAAGTAGGTGATGGCCACAATGATGATGATAGTCGATTCCGATGATGATGATGATGATGATGATGATGCTGATGCTGATGCTGCTGATGATGATGATGATCCTTGCTAGTTTAAATTTCCAAGAGGTACTTATATCTTTGTGCTTCTGCTGTTGAATAGATGTGAAAAAATTAACAGGGGTTAGGAGTTTGATATTGTGATGTTTGCGCTGCAGATGGACAGGACTTCGATTCTTGGAAATCAATAGTTTGCCGCAACAGTTTGCCACAACGTGAAAGAACTTCTTGGCAAGATCAATAGTTTGCCACAACAGTTTGCGAACTCGCTAATTTAGAACATTGTTTCATTTCTTTCTTTTTGGGGTTTGTTCTTGTCTTGACTGTGATTTTCTATCAATGTTAATCAGATTTCAAATCGAAATCGTTCCTAAACAACATTCGTCGCCAAATTTGTTTTCGAATAATGTCGGCCGCAATAGTCAAAATTTTTCGTGGCAAAATACTGATAAAAAAAAAAAATTTCCTGGCAAATTAGCCACGAATTTTGCTACGAATTTAACCACGAATTTTGCCACGAATAATTCCAGTGGCAAATTAGCCACGAATTTTGCCACGAATAATTCCAGTTGCAAATTAGCCACGAATTTAGCCACGAATTTTTTTGTGGCAAATTAGCCACGAATAAACTAGTCGAAAAAAAAAATTTATTAGCCACGTGATAATTAGCAACGACTTTTTGCCATGAAAATTTTTCGTTGCACTTTGGCGACCAAAATAATAGCGACGACTTTTGCCACGAATAGATCTCGTGGCAAATTACCGACGGATTCTTGTCACGAATAATATTCGTGGCAAATTAGCCACGAAAAATATTCGTGGCAAATTAGCGACGGATATTGGCCACGAATATTATTCGTGGCAAATTAGCGACGGATATTTGCCACGAATATTATTCGTGGCAAATTAGCCACGAATTTTGCCACGAATAATTAGCGACGAATTTTGCCACGAATTATTTTTCGTTGCAAAATTAGCCACGAATTTTGCCACGGATAATTAGCGACGAATTTTGCGACGAATTTTTTCGTCGCAAATTAGCCACGAAAATTGGAATTTTCCGTGGCAAAATTTTGCGACGGCCTATTAGCGACGAATTTTTTTCCGTCGCCAATTTCGTCGCAAATGCATTTTGCCACGAATTTTGTCGAAATTTTTCGTGGCAAAATTCGTGGCAAAACCCGGCTTTTTTTGTAGTGAGTTACACGAACTCTTTAATGAGTCCCCTTTCGCTTGAACCACTTGTAATCGAAGAAAAGTAAAAAAATTGGGATAATTATTGCTCAAAACCACCCTCAACATTAGTACTTTTGCATAGTAACTCTAGAACTTTGAAAAGTGACAAATCGCTCATCTGAACTTTGGTATCATTAGGCGACAGCCCTCGAACTTTGAAAAGTTACAAATTTTTCCTTCTCCTGAGCTTTCGTCCAAATGCTACTTTCTTTGTGGACATGGTTGTTAAGTGTCATATGAAAACGGACCAACTCATTTTTCTTTATCAAATCAACGTATATTATATGGTTAGTAACGTTAAAAAGTCATAAAGAAATTATTCGCGGTTATTATAGTAAAGAAATTAAGTAGAGATTATTTTGGTCAAGAAAAACGAATTAGTCCCTATTCAGATAACCCTTATGAAAACGGAAAAACTAGTAGATGTACAAAAATAGAAGTGTACCAGTTTGAAGTTTTTGGTGGTCAAAAAATTAGTTCAGGGTAAAATTGTCATAGGTGTACCAATGTGAGATTTTTAATAGTAAAAAAAATAGTTCGGGGTAAAATTATCACAGGTGTATTAGTTTGGAGTTTTTTGTGGTCAAAAAAATAATTTGGGGTAAATTTATCAGGTGTACCGATTTGGGGTCTTTCGTGATATTAACACTATTTTTTTACCAACATAACCTATACTATATGGTTAGTGACGTCGAAAAGTTGTCAATATTGATGCACGGTCAAGAAAATTAAGTGGAGATTATTTTTGTCAAAAAAAAAAAACAAACAAAGAATTGGCGCATAATCAGGTAAGTATTATAAGTTATGAAAATTGAAATATTAGTAGATATAACACATCTGAATGGAGCGTAATCGTAGACGCTTCCAACAAAAGTCAAATGATGCCTTTATCATTTTGGCTAAAGTTCGCAAACTTGTTAGAGGGCGAGCTTCGCACTACAAATCTTTTAGACCGTCCCGAACAAATGAAACTTTGGCTACTATATGGAGACTCCCCCACTCCATTTTTTTGTAATCTTAGTTCTATTTGTAATGCTGGGGAATGCCCCTCAGCTCCTGTACGTCATCTTATACATACTACTTACATTTACACCAAAAAAAAAAAAACACATCTGAAACTTTTCAAAGTTCGAGATCGCTTTGATGAATTTAAAGGGGGGTTTTGAGCTATTTATCCTTTAAAACATTTATTACACTCGACCTGGATCTAATTGTCACTGAAAACAATGAGAAAAAGCATTTATGAATGTCTCCTAGAAGGTATCCTAAGGTCAATCTCGCATGTGTGACACTTGTCAATTGGGCCATCCGTGTTAGTTAGTCCATTCGTAAAAGGCGGAGAAAAAAACAGGGAGAAAAAGTAATGATGTCTCTTTCTTGGAAACGCATCGTATTGGTCATCCAAATTTGCGAAGATTAATAGAAAGTCTTACAAAAATAAGGTATCTTGAAAGTCATGAGATATATGAAAGGAATTAGATATCCCACAATATATTTTATGATTATTGCATCAAATATTCAGATTATTCCTTCGATTGGAGAATAAGACCGCATACTCACCTGAATTTTATGATTCTTCAACAAAGGATGATCAAGCGATGGTTGCTTGTTTATGTCAACACAATCAATTGTTTCTCCTTCTTTCGTCTTCATAAAGAAAAAAAGTTCTTGTTAGAAAAAACCCATAAATCGTAATCGAAAATCTCCTCTTCAAAAATCTATAGAAGATGCTAATCATTTCAAACAAGACATGACAATCCTTTCCATATTCCCACATTCAATGTTTCGGTAGCATTTTATCATATAATTTCATCATGGAAAGAACGATCATCTCGTACTTTCTATATCTCTAGATAGAAAAATCCAACGAAGAAACTCCAATTACCGCAAGCAGAACTATCGAATACAAGAGAGATCTATCGATAAGGAGGATATTAGAGAAAGTGATTGTAGAAGCAAGACATCATTACCACGAACGTCTTGACGGGTGGTTTATTCAAGATCTTGAGTTGTCTCTCCAGCTCCAAATCATCTTCAAAAATGCTGGTCTTGCCCCAAACGATGTGAACTCTCCACAAACTTAGAAAGACCAACAGAAGCTTTAAAGCCATGGCGAGCTCTATATACTCTTCTTTTGGGTGTGAATTGAGCTAGTAGAAAGATAAGCATGTCCCTCTAAAGTTGAAATGCTTTTAACCATGAATCACTCACCCCTCGACCTAATCGTTTAATTTCAACCGTTCATTCCGTTTCCCATCCTTTTAACCTAGAAATGGTTGACCCATCTCAAGTCCAAACTGATTTAGTCATAGGAATTGATTACATTTAGCGTCAAGACAAGTCAATGGACTGAAAAATGATAAGTTTTATTGATCAGTTACTTACTAAGTACCACTGCTATTAACCCACTATTTAACAAATCTCTGAGTTATTTGAACTTTGACCATAAATGGGGTGCAATTAGCGATCTATTATTTTCTTTGAATTCGATGTTTTATAAGTTTTAATTGTTAAAAGAAAACGTTAAAGACTCAATTGACCCACATGCAAAACTTTTAAAAGTATTTTTTCTATTTGTCATACTCTAATTCTCCTTTATTTGAAACTAAATGTCCCCACCCCCACTTAATTCCCTTACCACTAGGCTATCTTTAATTTTGATAGTTTCCAGCCTATGTTTTTCCTAACTAATTAAAGGGTTAATACCACAAAAAATCTCAAATTGATACACCTATAAAAAATTTACCCTCTATTAGTTTCCATTAAATTTTACCATCAAATTGCTAAGTTGTATGACACGTGGCAATTGACGGGTGTGCCAGTTTAGGGTTTTACCCCTCTATTTGTCACAATTTACCGGTTTGTGATTTTTCGTGATATTAATCCAATTTAACGGAGGGTAAATTTATCACAAATGAACCAGTTTTGGGTTTTGGTGGTCAAAAAATTAGTTTTGGGTAAATTTACCATAGATATACTGATTTAGGATTTTTCGTGGTATTAACCCTTAATTAAATTAGTGAGTTATTTAATGTGCTCGCTTTCACTCGAACTACTCTCATCATGGAAAAAAAGGAAAATACGTATGATACCCAACATGGAATTAATCATCATCGAAAGATATGGGGATAATATTCATGAATTCCCATTAAGAGGTTTCCAAGGTGAATTCGCATGTGTTACACAAGTCAATAGGGCCATCGGCGATAAGTCCATTGGTTAAAGGCAGAAAAATGGAGAAAAAGTAATATTATTGATCATGGAATTTAGCGAAAAGTTAGGCAAAGCCTTTAAGCTTCATTTGTTTCGCAGAAAACAACTTTCAGAAAAACATTTTCCAGCGTTCAGCTCACGAAAAATAAACTAGTCAAGGAAAACAATTTCCCTCAATGAAAAAAATACTTTCAAAAGTAAGGAAAATGATTTCCTCTCGAATCTCTTTTCTCTCTACACTCCTTCATATTCCTTTTCTTTTTAATTATTTTTTTTCTTTTTTTCTTTTCCGGTTGCTAGCCACGGTGACGGCCAATGACCAGTCGTAGGCAAGGAATGAGCTCGGTTGTGGCCGACGCCTTGAGCCGGCGAGGCGAGGCCTCGGGAAAGCCAGCGAGGTCGAGCCTCGCCAGCCTCGAGCGAGGTCGAGTCTCCTTGGCCTTGGGTGAGCTTGTCCCTCGCCTGTGGTTGGTGGCTAGCTATCATGGTGGCCGGCGACCGGCAGAGGAAGAAAAAAATAAAAAAAATAAAAAATATTTAAAAATAAAAAAATTAAAAATCGAATTTTATTTAAAAATAAAATAAAAAATTATTAGAATGAGTGCAAGGAGGAAAATCAAATCAGATTTTCCACAAACCTATACTATATGGTTAACAAAAAAATCTAAAGAATGATGCACGGTTAAAGTATTTACGAAAATTATATTTTGATCAAGAAAAATATTCAGGTAACACCTATCATCTATAAACACGGAAAAACTAGTGGATATAACAAAAATGAAAGCGTAGGGGTGATTAAATATCCGTAACTATTCAAAGCTCGAGATACTGCTGTGTCAAAGTTCAAGGGAGTTTAGAGCAATTATTCCTAAAACATTTATTACACTCGACATGGTACTAATTACCATTGATAATAATGGGAAATCAATTATGAATCATTAGTAAACATGTGTTATACTTGTCAATTGGGCCATGCGTGTCAGTCCATTAGTAAAAGGCGGAAAAAAAAAGGAGAAACAATAATAATTTCTCTATCTAAAAACACATCGGATTGGTCATGGAATTTTGCAATACGAAGTCTTAAAAATTAAGGTATCCTGAAAGTCATGAGCTATATGAGAGGAATCAAATATCAAACAATATATTTTATAATTATTGCACTTGAATATTCATATATTCGTTCCTATGGAGAATAAAGAAGCATACTCACCCGAATTTTGTGATTCTTCAAAGGAGGATGTTAACGTAATGGTTGCTTATTTATATCAATACAATCAATTATTTCTCCTTCCTTAGTCTTTAGAAAGAAAAAAGTGCTCATCGGCAAAAATCCATAGGTTGTAATCGACAATTCCCTCTTTAAAAATCTTTAGGATTGAAGATGCTTAACATTTCTAGCAAAATATGACTTTCCTTCTCATATTTTTGCATTTGATTTTTCGGTAGTAATTTGGTGAGTTATTGCCTTGCAGTTTTCTTGATATTCTCGTAGTTTGACTGCGGTTCTTACGTTTTCACTTTTCGCGTGCTCTCCTCTGTACTCATAGGTATCGAGGCATTCACATTTCAGAGGTCATTTCACGACACCCTTGCTCTAATTTCAATTAGAGAAGCCTGTTAGGATGTTATAATGCTCATTTAGAATAAATGTATGCCATTATGTTGTCCGTAAATAGTAGAAAACGCATGTTTTAAAGCTGTCATGATGCCAAAATGAAATCTCAATGGCTAGAATGTCTTTATGTTGACCGTTTCAATAGCCAAAAGAGTGTGTTCATAGGCTCTCCTTTGTACTCATAGGTACCGAGGCATTCACATTTTAGAGGTCATTTTGCGACACCCTTGCTCTAAATTTCAAATGGAGAAGCCTGTTAGGATGTTATAATGCTCATTTAGAATAAATATATGCCATTATGTTGTCCGTAAATAGTAGAAAATGCATGTTTTAAAGCTGTCATGATGCCAAAATGAAATCTCAAAGTCTAGAATGTCTTTATGTTGACCGTTTCAACAGCCAAAAGAGTGTGTTCATAGGCTCTCCTCTGTACTCATAGGTATCGAGGCATTCACATTTTAGAGGTCATTTCGCGACACCCTTGCTCTAAATTTCAAATAGAGAAGCCTGTTAGGATGTTATAATGCTCATTTAGAATAAATATACGCCATTATGTTGTCCGTAAATAGTAGAAAAACGCATGTTTTAAAGCTGACATGATGCCAAAATGAAATCTCAAAGTCTAGAATATGTCTTTATGTTGGCCATTTCAATAGCCAAAATAGTGTGTTCATAGGCTATCATAACGCCGGACTGAAATCTCAAGTCATATGATAAATTATTATGTCATTGAAATTTAACTAGAAATTTTGCATGCTATAAGGCTGTCATGATGATCGTTTGGATTCCTAGATCTGAGTTTGGTCGTTACGATGCTGGCTGTGTAGAAAATTATGCGAGAATCCATTTTGTTGTCGTTGATGATATAAAGCGTGCAGTTTGGAAGGGATAAAAAGTGGCACATATATTAAAGGACAAAAGTACACTAGAAGTACCATAACTTGTGTACGGCGATTACTTTGGTGCCATAACTTTTTTTCGGATCACTTTGGTGCCAACTTTTTTGAAAAACGATCATTTTAGTGCCAATGCTGACGTGGCTCGCCGGAAATCCGATGTGGCGCTGACACGGCTCGCCGGAGAGGTCCAGTCAGCATTAAAAACAAAAAACGACGCCGTTTAGCCCGCTGACATGTATTTTTTTTTAAAAAAATTAAATTAAAATAAATAAATAAATAAAAAAGCCTGCAACAGCGGCGAGGGCTCCCTCGCCGCTGCTGCCACCGCCAATCCACCACTGTCGGGAAGGGCCGGCAGTGGTGGGCGCAATGGTCGGCGAGGGCCGGATCCGGCGAGGCGAGACCTCGCCGTCGTGACCCGGGCGACGGCGAGGTCCGGCCTCGCCTTTCTTCGGGCGAGGCGAGACCGACTTTGCCGTCGCGACCCGGGCGACGGCGAGGTCGGCCTCGCCTCGCTCGAGGCGAGGCCGACCTCGTCGTCGCCCGGGTCGCGACGGCGAGGCGCGGCGCGGATCCGGCCCTCGCCGGGCTCGGCGAGGGTCGCCGGGCCCCGGCCAGGGGCCGGCGACCACTGCGCCCACCACCGCCGGCCCTTCCCGGAGGTGGTGGGTTGGCGGTTGCAGCGGCGAGGGCTCCCTCACCGCTGCTGCAACCTTTTTTTTTATTTTAATTATTTTTCTAAAAATTAAAAAATTCGAAAAAAGCCACATAATTTCCACGTGTACAAGTCAGACCATTTTTTTTTAATATAAATGCCAGGTCAGCTTTTTGGCCGGAATTTTGGCCGGAGTCACTAAAGTGATCTATTTTCCTTCGACTTGGCACCAAAGTGATCCGAAAAAAAGTTATGGCACCAAAGTGATCGCCGTACACAAGTTGTGGCACTTCTGGTGTACTTTTGCCTATATTAAAGTATTGGATTAGAATACAATAGCCATCGCGGTTAGAACCCATGAACTGAGGTCCCCTACACGTGATAATTCATTTCATGATTTTGAAATTGAATTAGGGTTTTGTTTTGACCTGGCCCTACGGGAAATTAGTGTTTCTACACAGTTGTTGCCACGTCCAAGAAAAGCTGCAAATTGAATGAAAATGACTCCTTATGTAGTGTTAATTACATATATCATTCTCATATTTTGAATCTGATTTGTCATGTCATAATTTATGTGATTATTGCTATCATATCATCTCGCTATCGTGTTCAAAGTTTAATTTGTCTTGTTATACTGCATTTTCATATTGGCATGTCATGTCATCTTGTTCTCATGTTCCGAATCTGATTTGTTATGTGATG